CTCTGTGACTACTACCCCCTGCCACATCCCTACGGACACTGGGAGGCGACAGACGGCGGGGACAGCAGAGAGGAGTAGCTGTGTCGGTGGAGAGCGCGGGGGCAAACACACAGGCGTCAGCATCAGATAGCGTGGCCAGCGCGGCCAGCGCGGCCAGCACAGTCCCCGCTCCGGGCCTTCGCACAGGCTGCCCCGTCCAGTGGAACCCACACGGCCGCTGGCTCCTCGCCGCGTTCACCCTTCTGCCCAAATGCCCCTTTCTGAGAAGCCTTTGTAAAACATCATCACTGGCACTGAGCCCTCGCTGGGCTGCGTTTTCCCTCACCGTCTTAATCATAAAATGACGCTCTGTTGTGTGTCTTAATGCCTTGTTAGTCTGTCTCTCCTCTCACCAGAAGTGCGGGGACTTCATCTTTGTCCCTCACTGCCGTGTCCCCACAGCTAGGAACAGCGGTAAGCCCTTCACAGAGGGCAAAGTGCTCCAAACTCAGGAAGCGGAGGTTCATTCTAGTTTGTGCATCGTGAAAAGTGGGGGCACTCGGTCACATGCGGGCCTTGACGTCCTCGTGCGGAAAATAGGATGATTACAATGACAACCTCAAATCAGCCCCGCCCAGGAACGGCCGGATGCAGGAAGCCTCTGATCTTTGGACCCTGTGTTTGGAGGTTTCTTTTTCTGTGCTGTTTGTCCCCGCTGAGCAGATCAGCTGTCCTCAGGGAGGGGAGGGCAGAGTTCAGCCTACAGACTTCCTTTGCCTTTTGCAAAAACAACAAAACCAAAAATACCACAAGATCACGCTTTGCATCTGTACAGCTGCCCAGAGCTGCGGCAGGCGAGCGTGAGTCTCGCCTGCTAGGCTCCTCTGTGGCTGGGCAGGATGTGGGGCCCAGCGTGTAGGAGGCCCCGGCCCTCTGTGGAGCCCGCGGGTCTGGTTCCCAGGTAACCTGGCGCCTCAGACAGACTTCGCTGGAATGGCAGGATGGCCGCCGTCAGCTGCCGTGGCTCGCTCATGAACCCGGGTGCGTGAGAGGCTCTGGGTTTGTCCCCACCAGGACACCATGGGGGACAGGGTTGCTTTACCAAATTCCACCCACTCCTTCCTCAGTTCTCTGCCCCTACGGCTCTGCCTTGTCAGCTGAAGAATCTGCATGAGCATCGCCAAGGGCTACCCCGGCGGAGAAGCCACGTCCGAGGGCCTAGCCGTGTTTGGGCCACAGCCCACGGTACTGAGGGGCAAACGGAGGCCCAGTGAAGGGACGGGGCTCGGCCAAGTCCACACACAGTGCGATGTAGCAGAGCCAGACCCTGAACCAGGTTTCTGGACTTTTGGACTAGGACTTCACCGTTAAATAGTGATTTTCAAATTTCCTTTAAATTGAATCTCACACCCAGGCAAAACCAGCTACTGAAACTGAGCTTCTGTGGTCGAGGCTGGACCCCTGGCCCAGCTGCTGGACCTTCTCTCCACCTCCAGGATGGTTGAAAACCAAACCCCTTCATAGACCACACCCGCTGTCCATGCTGGTGGCCCCAGAATGTCACACTCACTTCCTTCCTCCCCCAACCCCCCAGGAAGCATCTCCGGAGACTTCTTAGACCAAATCGGGCAGTTGATTTGTGGTTATGTTACTAAGCGGGGCTGGTTCATTCTCAAAGATTTCTCAGAAACAGGTTCTAAGAAATCTTTCGAAAAGAAGAGAGTGGGTTTCAAAGATGGAGGGGAGAAGGGACATGACAGGCGGCAAGACCAGGAGCCTTGGCGGGGCGTGCAGAAGAAAGGCTGGTGCAGAGAGTCAGCACCTGGGGGCGCCTACCCAGATGGCGGGCATTGGGGAGTCCCCGGTGACCCCACTCCACTTCCTGCCCTGACAGCCTTCCTACCACGAAGTCCATGGTCCTGCTTCCTGAATCACATAGAAAGAACCATCCGTCTTCCAAACACCTACAGGGACAGTCTGCGCATGGCGTGGTCGGCGTTATACCGCGGCCCAGAACGCAGTTCTCACGTCCGCGTGGCGACTGGTCGATGTATTTGAATGCGGCGAAAGGGGAACCAGGGGGTTAACCAGAATTTTCTAATGACGAGGTCGACCTCTCATTTCCCGAACACTGCCGGACCACCAGGATTAGGAAGGACTGCCTTCTAGAAATACCCCTCGGGTGTGGAGCCGACTGTGTCCACAGGGAGAGAGACGAAGCAATCACCACGTCCTCCACATCCGAGGGGAAGGGGGCGACCCTTTCGACACGGTTTAAGACGGAGGAAGCAAGGCAGTTAAGAGCACAGGTTCTAGAGCCCAAGAGAGCTGGGTTCAAATCCCAGCTGGGCCACTTACCAGCCGTGTGACCTCAGGGGAGTTCCTTAACCTCTCCGAGCCTCAGTGTCTTCATCTGAAAAACAAATGAATGAAAAAAGCTCAGACTTACTCCAGGGAGAGCGTGTGAAGATCTAACCAGAGCGCCTGCACCAGGCTCGGCTCAGGCACATGGAGTAAATGTTAAGGGCTCGTGTGAAGTGACAGAGCCCTAACGAGCCACCTGCGCGAGGAGAGAGCAGCAGACACCTGCAGAGCACGAGCGGCAGTCGGGGGACCTGAGTGTCAGGCTTCCAGTTGCAAACTGTGAATAAAAAATGTGTACTGTGCTCTCCAGGACCACTTCCTGCACGAGACAGGCGGGCAGCGAGGGCGTGCTCTAATGCAGTGTCTCCCGTTCCGGCGCTGTGTTAGGAAGCTTCACACCACACAGTTTAACCTCGTGGCGGTCCCTGAGGTCGCTCCAGCTTCCTGCCTGACAGCGGGGGAACCCGGAGCTTCAGATGGCAGAGGAGCTTGGGGGTCCCGGGGTGCTGGCACGTGGCAGAGGGCGCCTGGGAGCTGGTCTGTCGGGTCGAAACCATTTCCCCACCACAGCAGAGGCCCGTGCAGGGGACACCTGCAGCTGGGCTGGTGGCAAGTCGCAGGTCACTTGGGGTGGGGTGGGTCTGGAATATTCTAATTGGCAGGAAACAGACAGCTGGGCATTTTGTAAAGGGAGAGAATCGTTGAATCTGAGGATTAGGGAGGTATTATTGCTGTTTGAGCTTTTTTCCTAAAAGCGCGTGGGGGACACCTTAAGAACGATGACTAAAGAATAATAACAACAAACTCTTGGTATTAGTAACAACCCCAAGGGCTTGCGGCAGCTTCAGCCACATGCTGTCTTGGCTCTTGTCACTTGTGAGGTGTGCAAAATGCCGACCTGCCTGGGAACGGGGATGAAGACAATTTCTGAATGGTCAGGACGGCTGGGCTTCTTTCTGTCCCTCTCACCTGAGCCCACACCCGTGCACCTGAGCCCGCTGACCTCTGCACATCAATGATGGATGACCCATAGGCCCGTGGACGTTAATATTACACAGGGGCCACCGGCAAGAGGGAGTCACTGCCCAGGGCGGGCCTAGCCTGCCTCTGACTCTCCACAGAAACGACATGAAAGGAAGGATTAAAAATAATAATAATAATAGAGTTTAATTAAAAGTAATTACTCTCCGGAACAAGTAACACCTGTTGTTTGCTCACTTTCTCCCGACATGTACACGGAAACTTTGGTGGGATGAATTCTGGCATAACGAATAGCAGGTGAGCCTCAAGGTTACATACGCGGTGGCTAGGGGACCGCCAGCCTGCCGCTCACGGCTAAGCATCCTTCAGGGAGTCCGTGACCCCACTGCGGCATGGGGGGGCAGGGACCGGTAACCAGGAGCTGCTGGGCTTTCCGGAGGGACCGGATCTCACAGCCAGGCATCCCTGGGAGTCCCCGCACCTGGAAAGGCGAGTTTCGGGTTTTCCTCTCCTCAGCTGGGACCGGGCTACCTGGAAGGCGCCAGGTCCCTGGAGAGGGGATGCTGTGGGCACCCAGCCCAGGCGGCATTTTCTGGGCTGGGCTCCCACCTCTCAGCTGCCGTGACCATTGGCCACGAGCAGCTCACAGCTGCCCCTTGCTCCAAAGGGTTGCTCAAGCCAGACCGGAGATACCTCTCCTGGGAGGTGCCTACCTCCTGGCCCCCCACCACCTGGGCAGCCCCCACACAATGACTGAGACACCTGGGGTACACAAGGTGCACTTTGCCTCGATATGGAACCAACCCTGTGGTGGGCACATTTTGTGTTCCAGGGTCCCCTTGGGGTCAGACCGAAGGTCGACCTCAGCCGGGGCAAATCCTTGCTCAGCCTCTGTCCTCCACCTGCCCTCCCCAGCCCCCTGCTCCTGGAGCACCTCCCATACTCCGCCTATCCTGAATCCCTGCCTCAGGCTCTGCTGGGAGGGAACTGAGACCCGAGTGAGGCTGGTCTGAGCTGTGACGCTCAGGACGGGAGAGCCCCGGATGTGAAGTGCTCTCAAGCTCAGAACACTTTTTCAAGAGCAGCGAGGCTCTTCAGCCTCCTGGTCCAAACTGTTGGCTTTAGAACGAGCAACCCAGAAGCCATCGGTCATTTAGCAAAGACTCACTGGGGCCCGGAATGTGCCAGGCCCTGTTTGGGATGCTGGTGATACAACATCGAACAAGGCAAAGTCCCCTTCCTCTCTCGAAGCTTATCAGATCAAACAGCAGTAAATCTGTCCGGTGCAGAAATGAAAAGGGGGTGGCATGACAGTGGATGACAGGGAAGGCGGCACTGGGGAGTGCTTGGAGCTGAGCTCCTGAGTGAGTCAGCCATGCAAAGACCGGGGCGAGGAGAGCAGGGCTCAGGCCGAGGGGAGGGTCAGCGGAGATCACCAAGCAGACAGGAGCCTGTGTGCAGCCCCAGGGTCAGCACGGTGCTGAGTGGAAGGGTGAGGTCAGAGAGGGAAGCAGAGCCAGATCGCGTCACCGCAGGACAGTGACTTGCCGCCCAATAAATCAGCCAAGGGGACAGGCTCCTCAGTATTTCTCTTTCTGCTCACTTCCTCAGGGCTAGCTCTGTCCTTGGCAAACTGCACCCCACACCTGTCCTCACGGGAACTCCCAGGCCGAGACTCCCTATCAGGTTGGTATGTCAATATCAGAGGTCAAGCTCGTGAATTAACCAATCGGGGGCCTTGCGAACACCAGCTCCGCTCTCCAAAGTGTTTTCTGGGCTTGCACGGGAAGGCGCCTATCAGACGCAGGCCGATAAAGATGTCACTATATCTCCTGTCAAATGAAACATGGGCTGTGGGAGGCGAGCTGAGGCAGGGTGAGGGCTCGGAGGGGACTCCCCATGATCCTGAGGCAGCTGCGCTTCTGCGCTCACTTGCCAGGCAACCTGAAACCAGTACCGACAGCATGTGGAGCCTCGGTGCCCACTTTTGGACAATGGGAACACTGGTGTCCAGCAGAGAGTGGACGGAAGGCGGCTCGCTAGCTCGGCACACTCTGGGCACAGGGGTCTGATCTTCCCACTATGGACAGTGTCACGGGTCTGGGCTCAGCGGGAAGGGGCCAGGGGCGGCCACCACAGCCGGGAGCAGCACGCAGGACAAAATCCATCACCAACGATGAAGGACGGGGCTGGAGGAGGAATCTGAGGCCACTCTCCAGCTCTTTCTTCCCAAGTCTTCACATTGCGTGATTCACACAAATAACTGGTGACCTTTTTAAATAGGATTTTAAGTGATAAACACAAGTGCTCGTAGCCCCAGCAGATAGAGGGCAAAGAAAGAAAAACCTCATCGTTTTCTCTCCTTTAAATCTCCAGCACCATTACCCAGCATCTCAATTACATCCCTGCGATACCCTTGCACATTCTAGCAGTAAATACTCATCTCTGGGGTTTTAGAAGATCAACAAACACATTTGGAAAATTCTCATCAAGCCGAAGCTCACTCAGCTGGACTTGGGCTGCCACTGGGGAGGTAGGTACGTATGAAACGCGCAGTCCTTTTGAAGGTAGTGAGAGTAATATGACGGACTTGTTCTATTACAGAAGGCAACTGTCCTTACTGAACACCTACTATGTGCCCGGCACTTTACATACAACGGGTAACATTTACTGCCCACCTACACGTGCACTCTTTCAGATGCTTTATGTGGGTTAAGCCATTTGGTCTCCCACACAACCTCGTATGAGGTGCCTTATTGTTGCCCTATACTCAGGTGAGCACAGAAAGGTGAACTCACTTGTCCACGGCCACACAGCGAGTAGATGGCAGTCAGTACCCGAACCCAGGTTGCAACCACCAGGGCTGAGAGCCATAGCACAGCAAACGCACGAGGGGCTCTCCCCGACGGCAGCAGCGCTGGGCAGCTCCCCGCCTGCCGTACGGGCCGCTTCCTGCCGATCGGCGGCGAGTCAGAATTTGCCCTGTGCCAAACTCCCCATCGGGCTTTTACTGACCCATCTCAGCGTCACGTCTGGCAGCATAGTGGCTGAAGGGCCTCGTCGCGGAGGGCCCAAAAGCCCCAGCCCGACTCCAGACTCAGCCATTACAAGCTGTGCGCCTCGGAGCAAGTCTCTGGGCTTCAGTGCCGACCTCGGAAAAAGCTGGCGAAGAGCCCGTCAGGGTGGTGGGCAACACGGCCCGACTAAGCCACGAAGGACCCTGCTCCACATCCCTCGGACTCACCACCTCCCTGGGGATTGCTGGCAAGTCTCCGAACCGTGAGCCTCAGTTTCCCCATCTGTCGAATGTTGTGCTAAATCAGAAGCTATAGAAACTGTTGCCTCATGGGCATGTTTTGTCTGCGTCATACAGAAATTGACAAAACTTTGAATTAGCTGAAACTTTTAAAAATCAGAAAATGTCACCAAAAAAAATCTGGACTCTAGCTTCCTTTGATAAAGGAAGGGAAGGTCCAGGAACCCTGGCCTCACGTTTCCCACAGGAACAGCCCCCGGGGCTGAGCTGAGCAGCAGTCGTATCCTGTGATGAGAACCTGGTTGGTGTTCTAGTTTGCTGCAGGCCCCACTACTCCCTATGGCCTTACCCAGCTCTGTCTGTGCATTTGTTTCCCCCACATGGGCACCGTGGACATAGGAGACCCCTGGACTGCATGTTCTAGAGGTCTCCTCTGCTCCTGCTTTCCACGACTTTCCTGATATTAGTCACATGTCACTAGATCCTGCTCTGCCCTCCCTTGGGGTAAATAGTAGATGGACACCAGCTTGAGGCCAAGGCCTCCAGGGCTGCCTCCCACCACCCAGCTGAAGGGAGAGGCCCTGCCTCTGCCAGGGCTCCGATCCCCCCGGTCAGCGGAAAGACGATCTGCTGTGAATGCACCAAGCAGCCATCAGGCCATGCACAGCCCCGGCCGCTGAAGCCTCCTATAATTACCTGCAGTGTGTAATAAAGCCCCATTTAGAAACCTTAGAAAGGACCGGGCAAGGAGAACTTTTTCCTGGGTAATTTCCTGATCATAGAATTTCAGGGTTGGAAGGGACTCTAAAAAG